CAGACAAAAAAAATAAATGTAGGTAGGGGTGTGCGATATATATCGTCTGCGATAATAAAGAATATTAAAAACATTAGGAGTCAGCTGTCTTCGGCAGTCCTTAAGGTACCAGCAAAATAACACACTCAGCAAAATATCGTCTAATTATCGTTATCGATAAAATCCCAGAAAATATTGAGATATCATTTTTTGTCAATATCGCACACCCCTAAATGTAGGCCTATCTTTTAATTTTTTTTTCTTTAGATTTTTGTGAATCCAGCCCCAGGAAGTCATTATCAGAAGAGTGCCTAAGGGTTTGACAGCCAACGCAACTTGGTAAACCTCAACTTTGCGAATCTTTTGGTAATAAAACAGACGGAGGCAGGTGAGAAAGTTTTTTATGTTTTTACAGTAATATTCCTGCCATTGTGGCTGTAAATTTGTTGCCTTTGGCCACTAATGCAGACAGTCCAGCTCCTCGGATTCAACCACAAGCTTCAAATGGTCGCCAAAAAATCATCAAACACCAAAAAACGTCTTTTTGAACATCATAAACACAAAAGGAATTTATGCATAGGAATACATAATTCTCTGAAAACAACACTTATCATCCGGAGCTACACAAATCCCAGCAGGAACAGAGATGGTGTTTGGTTTCTATTGTTTTTGCAATCCAAACATTTCAAATTAAGCCATTTCATTTTCTGACATTCAACCCTACATCCAGACCCCGACCATTGCCCTTTCATCTTCTTATCCAAAAGTAAATACAGAGAGTGTGGAATTCCTTTTTCCTTTTTTTTTTTAGGAAGAATAGGTTTTGGGTCTCTGATGAGAACATACAAGGAGACACTTGTTGAAATAATCACCCAAAAGACTTGAGAATCTGCTCAAGTCAAGTTACCAAGTAGGACATCCAACCACAGTTCTTTAGGACTAATTCGGTTTATATACCAGACCATCCGGATGAGGCCCCTACATAGGAACTGCACTGTTCTTCTCTCAACATTCAAGAAACATAAATTTGTCTTCCATGTATACAGCTGTAAAGCCCCCTGACACCAAGATCATGAACTCTGTCCTCGGGCAGTTCTCTGTGGTGGTATGCACACTAGCTAATTCTATCAATGCGTGCCATGGAGTACTGTTCTCCTCAGACCTATGTGCCCCTTTGGGACCAGACTATCAGGAAGTGGACGAGGCCAGGAGTGAATGTTTTGTAAAAAAAGAAAGATTTAGAGAGCGAGAGAATGAGAGAGAACTTGCAGGATAGAGAGTTTATACCTGACACCAGATTCTTCATTTTAAGAGAAAGAACAGAGTCTTTAGACAGCTAGCTGCCGCTGTTCAAACGAAGTTTGGACCACATTGACTATGATTTCACTGAAACATACGTTAATCAAATCACTACTTTTTGAAACCCACAATAATATGGAGGCACTCCAGTGGATCTTAAACTCCTTTAACTTCTAACTATTTGGCATGACGTAACTGAAAGGTCCAAAACTACATATTTTTAAATGTTGGGTTGTCTCAATGATTAGTCAGCTAGTCAGTTTTAAGGAGGCCCTGAATAAATTTGTGTCCAACAGACCCCATTCAGGACTGCATTTCTCAAAGGCATCATAAGCCAAGTAAATGGTAGAAAACATTGGCACAAGTAGTATCTACAATCTAATTAGTCTCACGATGCTTTTGGGCAGGGGTCTCCAAACTTGGTCCTGGAGGGCTGGTGCCCTGTGGAGTTTAGCTCCAACCCTAATTAAACACACATGAACCAGCTAATTAAGGTCATACTAGGCATACTAGAAACTTCCAGGCAGGTGTGTTGAGGCAAGTTGGAGCTAAACTCTGCAAGACACCGACCCTCCAGGACCGAGTTTGGAGACCCCTGTTTTTTATGAAACACAGCCCAGACCTGGTTCTAAGGGGGTTTTCCATAAAATACATACACAGCCATTCAGTAGGGTAACTGTCAGAAATTTAACAAATAAATATACTGAATAGTTCAAATATAATGCAATAAATTACTTTTTATTTCATAGATGACTTTAAGGGAATGTGTTACAAAAGACAAAAGTGTTTTCATAGAACAAGTACTTTAAAGAGAATCTAACATAAAATGATTCCTAATTTTGTTTAATTAACTTTTAAGCACTTTTGGTAAAAAGCTAAAATAATAATAATAATTTACAAAAATAAAATAAATGAATTAAAAAAAAAAAAGATCAGTTAGTCAATTTCAGTAGCCTATAGACAGCTGTTGGTCGACCTACAGCACCAGAAAACTAAGAAATACACATTCTATCAAACGCCTGGGAAGAAAACTCTTGATATCGTACATTCTTTCACCACTTCACTCAGCCTCCAGTTTGAGGCCCATCCATCCTCCTCCACGACGACATCTTGGGAGTGAAAAGTTCAAATCGCTCACTGAGAGAGCTGCCTCTTGCCATGACTTCACAGTTCATAAGAATGAGGCCAAGACACCGTGTCAGGGGGCATATGGTCTAGAGTATTAGATTGGAAGTACAGGGTAAAGAATTTAAATACCATGCCGAATTACATCATCAGAGACCCAGAACGGAGAAACGCACGCACTCCTCTGACTCATTCAACCATGCGTCATGCTCTAAATCATCTGCCGCTTCTAAATTTCATCTTCGCCAGACACACTATGGCAAACTAAAACAATAGCTGGAGGGTCTGCCTTAGAGAAAATGAGCAAACAAAGACAATAAGAGACTAGACTAAATGGAGAAGAATGGAGAAGTCTCACTGAAAATAACACCCCCAAGAAACCAGATCCAGCGTGAGCCCACTCTGACTAAAGCCCCTCTACAGCTGTGCACGACCAGACACAGTCCAGCAGACAAACATAGTTGGAGATGGCTGATTGTGGCATGTTCTAGTCAGGGCATGCATGAGTTGATTATTGCTGCAATCATACAGTGCTGCACAGCTGTCTGCAGCTTGAGAAATGAGTAATGCAGCCAAAGGGCAGGGAAACCCAACAGATCAGCATTGTGATTGAATGGCATGCCTCATATTCTGTGATTTCCCCTTTGATTTATCACCTCATATGGCCACAAATATCATATCTACAGGTGAAAGGTGATCATGTGGTCTTGCAATCAAAGCTAGATTATATTTACCATAACTGCTGCTCCATTCAACAACATTCTCCAGTCAAAGATGTTCTGAAGGCAGACTACAGGTATTTGGGCTACATATAAAAGCACTTGTACATCATATTGGCTTTTGGGGTAACATTACTAATCAGTAAGTACTTAAACGGATAGTTAATTCAGAATTCTGTCATAATTTACAAATGGAGTTTCAAACCTGTATGACTTTATTTCCTTTGTGGATAACAAAAGAAGTTATTCCTAAAAATGTCTCTGTTTTTTTTTTTTGTCCATACATTGCAACAGGGTCCAATGTTGTTTCGGACTCCTTTAGCTTTCATTGTATAAACAAAAACAGTTTAAACACTCTTCACAATATCTTCTTTTATGTTCCATGAAAGAAAGTCTTACAGGTTTTCACCAACATGATTAAATGAAGGTTTTCATTTTTTAATAACTATTAGGATACCTATAACTATTAGCCAAGCAATGAAGTGTCCCTTCAAATCAGTTTTTAACACTCTAAATGTGAGTACTGTGACTTATCTACATCACTGAAAATTTTCAGGTAAAAACAAACACAAAGTGGATATCCACAATATCAGAGATGTCTAACTTTTGGCTTTTTTTTCCCAAGGGTTACTCATAATCTAGCAAAGGTCATCTTTGAATGGTTGGAGATTTTCCTGTTAGATTATGTAGAAGGTTTAAGTGACCATAGCACATGCAATCAGGGAAAATTATGGGGGGCAATCTTCATTCCCCTTTAGGAGAGCTGGTACCTTACTATGACATCATTACCTCTAGTCAAGTCCTATTTATAGAAAAACCACCAGCGATGCCACTGATAGAGGCATTGCCATCCGCTCAAAACATGCACATACACTTCAGGTTTGCACTAAGCAAACACTAAACCACACTTTTAGAACTGTCGCTCCCCAACTGTGGTGATACGCTTTGATCTAAATGGCAGTGCAGACTGGGTTGGTATTGTAAACAACAGTTGGGGGATACCCCTGGTTTCATTGCCCCCTGTACTGAAAAGTGTGAGCTCTAGTAGACTTTAGTACACAATGAGTCATTCGGAACGAAAGGGAAACACATTAAATCAATGAATGAACTAGGTTAAACAAGTTTGGCTTTCAACCCAGAACGCCAACCCGGGGATCCCCGGAGATTGAAAAAAGTTTCTACTTAAGCTAACATTACTACAATATAAAATACATATATTGGGATACAAAAGTTAGAAATTAATTAATAGTTAAAAATGTCCATCTATGACCCTTCCCTATGGACCCCTGGAGTACATTCAGACATACTTGGTTAAAAAAAAAACTTCTTTCATCACAATGATAAATGAAACGGTACCTTTCTTGGATTTGAATGACAATAACCCTTCATACTAATGCATTGTATGCATTGGGGAAGTTGTGGCCTAATGGTTAGAGAGTCGGACTAGTAACCCAAAGGTTGCGGGTTCGAGTCTCGTACCACACTAATTCCAAGTATGGGTCACCATACTTGGCCACATGTCACTTTCACTTCGCATTGTACATCATACTGTGGTAAAACACCCTATTCTGAGGCCACAGAGGTGTGTCAGTACATTATAATTTCTGAATTTTGTAAGCTAAAAGTGCATATGAGCAAAAATTACATCCATGCAGTCACAGCAGGATAGACAGCAATAGCAGGGTGGACAAAAACACTAATATGTGGCATTTAAAGTTATTAAACAGCATTTAAATTGTCTAGTTCGTATAATTAAACAACTCTACGTTGGCAATGATTAGTGAACTTGGGTCTAGTTGTACATTTCTTTGAATGCACGCCAAGTCTCTTTACTTTCAATATTACTTTCAATATGTAAAATCAAAGAAGGAAACCAACCTTGAGTCAGTCATGTAAAAGTCCACCGAGTACCCGAAGTAACTACCGTTCGGTCCGGTATACACCGCTGGGTTCTCCACATCCAAGTTGAAGGCAACAGACAAAGGTAGAAGAATCAACAGTGAAAGTCCCATTGGACAGCAGCTCGGGTTGTGTGAAGACGCTGAAGTCTTTGAACGGTGCTTTTTGGAGCCCATAGTAATCGATATGTCACAATCCACTTCTTTATAAAACTTCTCTCAGAACAAAAGGTGGCACTTGAGCAGAATCCTCCTGAAGATGCTGCCTTACGCAAATCTCATGCCTTAGTGAAGCGTATCAGTCTGCTCGTTATTTCTCCAAGCGCTCTGGTACAGATAGCCTCCGTCTATCTGTCCCCTTCTCTCTTTTCTAGCGTCCTGCCGTCGTCCCTCCAGCTTAATTGAAGGGGTATTAGGAGGAGGTTCAGTTCTTCCACTCGTGACAAACTCCCATAGAGGTGGAGCTAAGAGCACAATTCACAAAGTGGGGGAAAAAGAGCGGTACAACATTGAGTTGGATAACTTAATTAATCAAATAAGAAGAAATGCATTGAATAAAGCAACGAGATAAAACGTACAACAAAGAGACAAATAGTGAACTATACAGACGCTGTGCAGATTAACTTAACCATTTAGGTTAATGCATTTTACATTCTGAAACCTGATATTTACATTTTATTAATTTATTTTATTTTTAAATTGCATATAATACATATAATTACATTTTCAATTTAATATTTTAATAATTCATGTTGCACTGTGCCATCTAAAGCTAAATTAAATTAATAAATACATAATTTGTATATTGAAAAAAAAACGAAGAAACACTTAGGCCTACTTGTCCTTGTAGAGTTCATAATATCCTGAAAGGATGATGTCATGACAGTTTTTACTTATGGTTTACATAATTTAATGGTTTGATGCATAACCTGGGGACGCATCATCAAAAATTACTTCTAAAATGTGATGTACAGTAAAATCTAAAAAAGAACTTTTGTGACCTGTTATCTGTCCACTTGAAGGACTCTTTGCATAGTTGTCAAAGATAGCTGAATGAATGATTGAATGAATGAAGAGCTGTTTTCAAAGTCCTTTATCCTCCAAAAAACGATCTCCAAACTTGTTGCCTTCAACATGAACTTTCTCAGCGTCGAGATTATTGACGCTAAATGCTGATAAAGCTTGTCAGGAAAGCCATCACTGAAGTATTTGGAGCAATACTACAAAATCCGCGTGTAGGTATTAAGTAGAGACTATGAGTCAGTTTTAATTTGGAGAAATGTTGTTTATAATACACAAGCCTGTACACTAAGCAATCTCCATTTATAGAGCTGACACCATCAAGACACACGGAGCTGGGAAGTTGTGCATCTCTGAGCTGTAAAAAGCCACTCGACTGACTGGAATTAGAGTATGTTGTTTTAGTTGATTCAGCCTCTGCTCAAGGAATTGAAATGCGGAGCCAAATTTGGCTGTATGGCTACAGGGAACTCGCCGTGAGAAGCCTTCTATTTGGGAAAGTAGGGTGTGAAGGGGGAGCTCACAGCTGTCGGACCACAGCCACACCGCTTTCAACCAATCTTTTCGTTTTGTTTAAACTCAGACCGAATGAAGTTGCTGCAATAACACGTATATTACAACAAATTCATTTATTCTAACCATGTTCGATTCGTAAACGAATCTTCCCTTTGAATCAGATATTTCAATGAACCAGTTCACAAGATGAATCTTAACGATTAATTCACGAGAGCGATGCCCGAGTCAACTCACTGAATCAATTAATTAAGAATCTTGTTCGAACCTATCCCATTAAGCACAATACCACACATGAAAAACAAGCAAAAACCACTATTTTAGTTAAACGGAAAACCTGCGCTTTTGCATTGTTTAATTAAATATCGCTTTATTTAAATATTTAGTGATAACGTAATTGCGTCATTCCGCAAAAACCACTGAATCGGTTGTTTGAAATGATTCTTTCCGCTTGAAAAAATTGTTTCATATGTCACGATTCTCATCACTAATTTGAACAGTTATCAAACTAGAGTGTGCAAAGTAAACTGAGTGCGTGAAGTGTTTGTGATCGCGAATAAAATTATCGTTAATTTACCTTCTTGACCCAGTAGGCCTATTTTTTTTTACATAGGCCCTATGTCAGTATTTTTTAGATAAAACAAATTAAACGCTAACTCGCAGTTAACTGGCAGTAACCTACTGCTGAGGAATATCTAATAGAAATGAACACTTTGTGAAAGGCAGGAATTACCTATTTTCCCAAACTTTGTGCAAACTAGAAAGGTCTATATAGCCTAAAAGTTTAGCAATAATAATAGTTCATATTTATCATTTAAATGTGTCTAAATATGTTACAAATGTGATACAAACATTTTAGTGCTGAATTTACATTTTGTTATTCAGTTAGTAGCCTAATTTAAGTTAGGGTAACGCGATCATCAAGGTAACTCACATTCTTGTGAAAGTTGAAGTCTTTATGTGACTGGACGGGTCAGTTTCTTAACTAGGAATAGGCTTGAAATGTGAGCAGTCATATGTTTTTTTAGAAGCTCCAAGATTTTATAATGAGCTGGGTAAGAAATTTTGAATTATGAAAGGTACTGGTTTCATAGTACAATTATTTTTTTTCTTATGAAATGACCCTAAAGTTACACCTCCTGTAATTTGGGTTTATTTTGTCCTTCCCTTTTTTACGCCTACATGATTTCCATCATACGCTCCATAAAACATGTACAGATACTAATGCAGTGTGCTAATATATATACATAATATACATGTATCCCGCTGACACTATAAAGGTCAAAATTTTATTTTAGCATGTGTGTTTGGCTCAGTGTTATTTTTTTAGGATTACTGATAAACTAATGTAGTTTGATTTGTATTAGTTATCTATTTTAGTTTTAGTTACAGTTGTAGTAATGTTGTCATTTTATTAGTTCCCTTTCATGGGAACTTCGAACTGCGTCCTCTAGGGGTCGCTATGGGGATGCCTCGTCGTGACCCGTGTCTGAAGCATACATTGAAAAAACACCAACTCGTTGGCCGGCGACAGCCATGACGTCACTACCGGTGCGACTATAGTATAAATAGGCGCCGGGACCACACATCATTCTCTTCTTCGTCTTCATTGACTTTTGTTTGAAGCGTGCATTTCTGTGGTAAGAGCGATCTCTATTCATCTCATTATGGCGAGCACTAGCAAAGCGTTTAAGGATGTGTGCATCCGTGTTGACGTTGTTTAACATCTGATGACACACACGATCTATGCGTTATTTGTTTGGGCGAAGAGCACGCACGCGATGCCTCCGAGGGGGCAATCGGCGTGCACTGCGAGCGTTTTTTCCAAGGGAAAAAGCTCCGCTCTCGTTTTTTCCAAGGGAAAAAGCTCCGCTCTCGTTTGTCTCTTTTTTCGAGGAAAGAGGG